TCATTGCCGCTGAGATCCTCTGGGATTCTGGAATGAACACGAGAGGCTGAGGAAGCTAAAGGCCAGGAGAGGATCTGCTCCTGTTCAGAGTTCCCAATGTTGGGGATGAGAGGCTCCCTGGGAAGGGAGCGAAGTCTCCTGCTCAGAGGAATCAGGAGACAGGTGCCAAGGCCAAACTCAAGGTAGAGGCCTCTAGGTCAGGGCCTTGGGCAGGTACAATTTCGAAGAAGCACAGTGAAGATTTGTGGCTAAGACCTTGGGCTTAAAGGCTCAGAGTTCTGGATTCAAGTTCTGACTTCTTTTATTAATGTATGACCTTGGGTGAGACTCAAGAGAGGCTGAGCCTTGGGCTTCCCTGGTGGCGCAGTGGTTGAGAGTCCGCCTGCCGATGCGGAGAACACGGGTTCATGCCCCGGTCTGGGAGGATCCCACATGCCGTGGAGCGGCTGGGCCCGTGAGCCATGGCCTTTGGGCCTGCGTGTCCGGAGCCTGTGCTCCACAATGGGAGAGGCCACAACAGTGAGGGACCCGCGTACCGCAAAACAAACAAACAAAAAAACAAAACAAAACAAAAAACATTAAAAAAATCTCAAAATTTAAAAAAAAAAAAAGAGAGAGGCTGAGCCTCGGCTGGGAGGAAGACAGCTCACCATCAGCCAGGCTCTGGAGCCAGACGGGCTCAGCTGCTTCTTGGAACTGTGACCTTGAGCAAGTTACTCTGCCCCTCAGACCTCAGTTTGGAAATGGGGATACTCCACCTAACCACACTCTGGTTGGGAGGTGCCAGTGAGATACTGCCCATGAAGCACTCATCTCCCTGCTGACCCACAGGTTTCAGAAATGTTAGTTATCTCCATCAACCCTTCTCTGGGGAAACCTTCAGCTTGTGACTGGTTTGAATGGTGGCCGTCACCTTTCATCTGGTGACAACACCTGACTTGACAGTACCCAGAGCCTTCATCACAGAGCCTCCAGGCGTCAAGGTTGCGGGCCCCTCAGGCACCACTCTTCCATAACAGACGCCCCCGATCTGGCCTTCCTCCCCTCTGCAAATTGTCCTCTGTTTCTGAGCAAAGCTAAAGTGGGGTGTTATTTGGTGACACTGCCTCGATGAGGTCAGGCTGCCCGGAAACGACCCCTTTCTGCCCTCAGGGATGAGAATACAGGCTGTTTTTCATTAGTGTTTTGAACTCTAGTATGTACCAAATGATGAATGTTTTGGAGTAAGGTTTACACTGAATGTGATCAAACAATGTTCCTGCACTCACAGTGTCAGTTGCCCTTGGTAGCCCGTTTCCTAGCACCATCAGGGCACGCCCAGACCAATGGCACGTGTCACTATGCACATCTCACCACCAGTTGGCTCCTTACTGCCCAGGGTGGCGGTTGGGGTCACTTCAGACTCTGGGAGAGGTGCTGCCATAGAGAACCCCCTCTTCTATGTGGGGCATTCTGAGGATCTTGTCTGTGGCCAGTGGCTTGGCAGGACCAGACCTTCCCAGGCAGAGCCCTCCCAGGGGCAGCTTCCCCGGCAGCTGGACGCATCTCTGAGCAGACACTGCCCCCTTGAGGCCTCTGCTTGCCATCACACCTGGGAGCGCTGACTTCACACAGAGGGAAGTGGACCCAGATGATGCTTTCCAAGCATCCTCCAGGGGTGCCTTAAAATTGGCCCCAAATGCAAAAGTCTTTGGAGCACTGGCAGTGTATTCATTCTCAATTTGAGAACCTGGAATCTACCTTAGTGCCTTTTGTTGCCTTCCAGAAGAATGCAACTCTGGGCGATCATCAGAAAACAAGTGCATAGCCACAGGAGGTCTGTAATTTGTAAAGAGGCAGGGGGATCTCCCTGACGGTCCAGTGGTTACGGTCCAGTGGTTAGGGCTCTGTGCTCTCACTGCCGAGGCCCCGGGTTCGATCCCTGGTTGGGAAACTAGGATCCCACAAGCCGCATGGCAAGGCGGAAAAAACGAAAAACCGTAGAGGCAGGGATTTTAGGGAACTAGTGAGAAGTGTCCTTGCTTTCTAGTAACATTTGGAATTACGGCTGGAATTAGGGTTGAGGATAAGGTTAGAGTTAAGCAAAATGACTAGTATAGAGTTAAAGAGGGAAAGATATCTTGCTATAAGTTTTTTTAAATATAAATTTACTTATTTATATTTATCTTTGGCTGCGTTGGGTCTTTGTTGCTGTGCACAGGCTTCTCTAGCTGCGGCGAGCAGGGGCTACTCTTTGTTGCGGTGCGCAGGCTTCTCATTGTGGTGGCTTCTCTTGTTGTGGAGCCTGCTCTAGGTGAGCAGGCTCAGTAGTTGTGGCACGTGGGCTCAGTAGTTGTGGCTCATGGGCTTTAGAGCACAGGCTCAGTAGTTGCGGCATGTGGGCTCTGCGGTGCGCAGGCTTCAGTAGTTGTGGCTCGTGGGCTCTAGAGTGCAGGCTCAGTAGTTGTGGCGCACAGGCTTAGTTGCTCCACGGTACGTGGGATCTTCCCGGATCATGGAAGATGATCATGGATCGAACCTGTGTCCCCTGCATTGGCAGGCGGATTCTTAACCACTGCACCACCAGGGAAGCCCTCTTGCTATAAGATTTGAAATTAGCTACCAAAACGAGGTGGGAGAAATAAATAAAATAAAAGGAAGGATGAATTAATTACAGGAAGGTCAACGTTAACTAGCTAGATTGAGAACTAAGAGAGTAAGAAGTGGTGGAGGTGTGGAGACATGGTCCTACAACTGTGGTACTGACAACAGTATAATAACATTGCATGCTGTATAGAGAAGTGGGAAAAAAAGGGGAAAACCACCAATAATCCTACCATCTTAACTAAGCATTACTATGGTTCATTCCCTTTGTTTTTGCTTCCTACATGTCTTCTTTTAAAGTCTTTATTGGATTTTTTTCAAATCATAAGAGTTAAATTATAGGGACTTCCCTGGTGACACAGTGGTTAAGAATCCGCCTGCCAATGCAGGGGACACGGGTTCAAACCCTGGTCCGGGAAGATCCCACAGGCCACAGAGCAACTAAGCCCGTGCGCCACAACTACTGAGCCTGAGCTCTAGAGCCTGTGAGCCACAACTACTGAGCCCGCGTGCCACAACTACTGAAGCCCGCGCGCCTAGAGCCCGTGCTCTGCAACAAGAGAAGCCACCGCAATGAGAAGCCCTCGCACTGCAACAAAGAGTAGCCCCCACTCACTGCAACTAGAGAAAGCCTGCGCGCAGCTACGAAGACCCAACGCAGCCATAAATAAATATAAATAAATTTATTTTAAAAAGTATTTAAATCATGAAACTTGTAAGTTGTGGAAAGTAAAAACCACACCCATCTCAAAAAAAAAAAAAAACAAACAAAGACTGGCCCAAAATGCAGAGTTGGGTTACAATTGTGTTTGGGAGAGGCTTCGTTCCTAATCACTCTGCAACCAGAGTCCCTTGGAGTCCTGGGTCCACTAAATTCTCGGCCTCTGGGCCTTTGTAAATAGTTTCCCCCCTGGAATACTACTCTCCCACGTTCTTGTCTGGCTGACTCCTTTTACTGTGCAGGCTTCGATGTCTCTTCTCCCAGCGTTTCCCCAATGTCCCGAATTGGCTGGTGCCGCTTAAATGTGCTCCTGTAACCCCATGACAACCTTTATCACGTTGCACTGTCATTGCTTCTTACTTACTGCTGGCAGAGAAGCGCTGTGTGGCAGAGACCCAGACACCGTGACTCCCAGCTCCTCCTTCTGCGGACAGAGGCAGGATAATCCAACTGTCTGCGATCTGCAACAGAACCAGAGCATGGGCCTGGGTCACGCCGTCCCCTGAGCAGGACGGGTTGCTGTCCAGCATTAAAGGGGAGCTGGACTGACGTTCCCAGGTGCTGGGTCCCAGGCAGTTGCTCATCAAATCCCTGAAGCACTCTCTGGAGGTAGGTACTTGTGGCTGAGACAGCAGCTGGTCCCCATCAAATACCTGGGTGCTCACCCAGAGCAGTTCAGGCCACATGACTAGTTCTGGACCACTGTCTGTGAGCAGAAGTGACGTCTGCCCATTTGGGGGTGAGTCGGTTCAGAGCTGACGTGTCTTCTCCATCTCTTTCCCCCAATTGTGGGTTCCAGTGGTGAAGCTCCAAAACGTAGGAGGGCCACCAGATCCTCATTGGACTTTGTGAAACAAAGGCACATTTACTGCATTTAGCCAAGGAGGTTTGGGGGTCGTTGAGGCAATTCATGCTAATTGCCCTGATGCATACGGCACTACTATCATTTCTACTCATCGAGGCCAAGACAGCTGCCCACGGTCACACAGCTTGTAAGCGGGCAGAGCTGGAACTCAAGCCCAGGCCTGACTTGCATGGCTGGTGTTTAGAAACTAAACGTACTTCACCTCATGAAAGCCTGTCCCCAAGCACTGCTCTAACTTCTGAAAACTCATGAGAATGTCCAGCGGGAGCAGTCAGAATACTTGGCAGGTCCGAGTGGACTCCTGCTATTCTGGATTGCACTCCGCAGTTGCAACACTCAAGCTGTACTTCTGCCAGTGATGGTCGTTCAGGATGAGCAACACGCGGTGAGGAAATGACAACAGCTCACCCATGCTTTGCAGAGAATTACAACTGGGGAGTGTAACCCTGATTCTACAGATCAGGGAAGAATTCCTCCCAATGTCACTATTTCACTCTCAGCTCTTACCCACTTGTTTCCCAGCCCAGAAAGGCAGTGTTGCACACCGGAAGCTTCAGAGTTAAGACCTGGGCTCAAATCCCTGCTCTGCCACTTACTGGCTGTGTGACCTCAGGCAAGTTACTGTGCCTCTCTGAGCCTCAATTTCCTCATCTGTAAAACGGGGATAGTAATACTAATTCCTCATAGGATGGATTGAAGCATTAAGAGATAATGGATATAAGGCACTTAGTACAGTGCTTGGCACATGGAAGTTTGTTATAATCCAGGCAGGCTCTCTTTTTCCAGGGTAGGATCAGGGGGCTATCAGAGGAGAGGGAATCGGCATACAGATTCGCACCAAAATCGCTCATATGTTTATTTACAAACAGGATACATATACACATACACAGGTATCACTGGAACATTTCAGGAACCTCAGGGCTGGGAACACCCCTTCCTGACTCGGCTTGGGCTCTCTAGAAAAGGGCTTCTGACACTTTCTCACTGGAAAGCCTGTAGGTGCTCTGGTTGGGCTTTCACTGCTTCTCATGTCCACATCGGCCTCTCCCAGTGGGCCGTGGACAAGGGGCTGTGAGCTCAGTCATTCATGTCCAGGTCAAATTCTGGATACAACTCTTTGGTGGTGACACCTCGGATCACAGCTGAAAGGAAGGAAGGAAGGAAGAATGTCCAGTGGGAGAAGTAGGAGGGAAAATGGCCAAAACCCTGGCCTACCCAGGACCCTCTCCAGCACTTTCTTCCTGCTCCCCTAGTTGGCCCAGATAACCCTCCTGCTACCCCTTCCAGGCTCCTCCACGGTGGGCCCTGTCTGGTCCCTCCAAACTAGACTCACTTAACCCTCACCCACGTGAAGGAGCAGCAAGAGTCATGTGCTGAAAGTGTAAGTGTACACTCACATTGCATCAGTGGCCAGCTGCAAACCCTGGCCCATGTGCATGCCCTTGCCACTTGGTGATGCCCTTCCTCATGCCTCCTCACAGACTCTTCTCTCCTCCCAAGGGAAGGGGTCTCCTCAGAGGCCTGCCCTGACCACCCTGTCTCATCCCCACCTGCCACCCTGTTCATACCTCAATATTTTCCATCTGTCTTTTGTCTCCTTCACTGCACTTAACACATTTTATAATTCATTTATTTGTGTTCCTTTACTTCTTGACCATTCCCCTCCCCCACCCCAACACCAAAACGTAAGTCACATGAGAATGGAGACACTCAAGTGTCTGGTTCACCAAAATGTCCCCATACCCTGTTGAGTAGCACAGAGTAGGTGCTCAGGAAATACTCACTGAATGAATGAAAGAGGACACTCCGCCTGCTCCAGGTCCTATGACCTGGAAGGACAGGTCTCAAACTGGGTTCTGTCGAAACAAGAGCTTATTCCTCTTGCCCTCTAGGCGACAGTCCCCTCACATTCCTTTCTTCTTGGGCCCTGATCGTCCTCCACCCACTTCTGTTTTCTCCCTCCCCTCCTTTGAGACCCATTCCCCACTGACACACGGAGAAGCCCTTCCTGCCGTGGAAGCCCGGATGCTGATGGGCAATTCTGCGACAAGAGCTACAACTCAGGCAGCCAGCGGGCAGACAGCCCAGCTCTGGGCACTGTCCCAAATGGTCCCTGCTGGCTGAACATCAGAGTGCCCACCGATCCACGCCAGGTGATGAAACCAAGGCCACCTACACGTTTCCTCACCTCCAAGGTGGGCTGTCCCAGCCAGCTCAGACACACAGGTGCCTGTGTCTCGGCTCAGCCCTCTAGATAGTGAGACTGTGTTCGAGGAGGAACAAAATACCCCTTTAAGCCACAGAGTTCCCCTTGCACTTTCTGCCTCTGTAGCATGTCGGCCACCTGAGGCGAGGCTGGGGTCTCCATTGGTCTGAGTAGGCCCCGGAGGACTGGGAACCCTAGTCCTCAGGCAGGCGGGTGAGCCCAGACTCAAACCTACCTATAGCTCCAAAGCAGGCTCTATACCCGAGGGAAAAACCGCAGGCACTCAGGTAAGAGCTGTACAGCTGCTTCGCGAGGTGGCCAGGAAGGGGAAGGGCATTCAGGGAGCGTGGCAGTTGAGAATGGTAGGGGGGTTGGGTAAGTTTAGAAGGCCCAGGAGCAAAATCCCACCACCCCTGGGGCATGGGGACTCCCTCACCTAGTTTGCCTAGCAGCATCTGGCCTACATCCTTGATGTCATTATACTCATGGAGCTGGGAGATGTGGTCCTCCAGTTCATCGACACTGTAGCCTCTGGGGTGAGAAATGGAGAGAGAGAGAGAGAGAGAGAGAGAGAAAACATCGTTGAGAAAGCTGCTCCAAGGTTCAGAGAGTAACGAGGCATCTATTTAACAAATGTTCACTAAGGGCCTACTGGGTGCTTGGCATTGGGAACTAAGATAGTGATGCCAAGATAGACCCTGCCCTCATGAAGCTTAAGGTAGGGCAGGAGATCTGCCTACTCCCTCACTCCTGGCACATTCTCCCTGTACTCTTAGGGAGGCAGCCTCAGCCACGCTGGTACTATGTAACCCTGGTCACAGCCAAGGGATTCACAGATGGGCACATGAGTGGCTAATCAGATCCCCTCAAGGGTGACATGCACATTCAAAGGCTGCTCAGTCTGTGCCATGTGACTGGAGCAAAGGGCATGGGAAAACCCAGGAGTTGTGGAAGAGCCAGCTTCCCCTGGGCACTGAAAACCCCACCTGTGGAGGGAGGACAGAGCCCATGTGCGGACAGAAGCAGAGGTAGAGACCGTGGGCCCCAGAAAAGACTGGGAGAGCCATGGCTTTCCAGTTCCCAGGTCCCCTTATTCTCCTGGGAATTCCTGGCACAGTCCTGTTTTTATGCTAAGCTAGGTTGCAGTTACTGGGCACTAGTTAAATGTTATCTAGAGATTCCCTGGCAGTCCAGTGGTTAGGACTCGGTGCTTTCACTGCCATGGCCCAGGTTCAATCCCTGGTCAGGGAACTGAGACCCTGCAAGCTGCATGGCGTAGCATGGCCAAAAAAAAAAATAAAAGTTATCTTAAGCACACTGAGGAAGCCAAAGAGACTTACTCAGATATTAATTGGGAGATTTCCTTGTCCAGCATGTCCTTCTTCTCCTTCAGCTTCTGAACGTCAAGGTGCAGAGAATCCTCGCTGGCCCCATCAGCCTGGCCAGACTTGGGAGATGGCCGCTGCGTGGCACAAAGAGTCATAAGCCAGACTGACCAATTATCTACAATTCAGAACCTACACATTATCCCCCAATATCCACTCCCTGCTTCTGGTTGGTAATAGACACCCTCCACCCCAGAATAAGACTACATTTCCCAGCTTCCCTTGGAATTAGATGTGGCCCTATAACTAAGTTCTGGCAAGTGGAACTTAACTAGAAATAGCATATGCGATGTCTGGGAACTGTCCTTCCAGGGAAAGGGCATGCCTTTCTCTAGCCTTCCTCTTTCTTACCAGCTGGAGGGATGCTGGAGTTGGTGTCTTGGATGATAGAGGTTATGGGTCCCTGATGACTGTTGGTCCCTGAAGCCACCATTATTTGGGGTTTTCTTTCACTCCCAGCCAAACCCAACTTTAACTAAAGGGCCCATCCTGGTTCCCAATCTGACCCCAGAGAATCTTGGATTCTCCTGTCAAGTCTATGATGTCACTGGCTTTATAATCGCATTGGGTAGCAAAACCCATCCCTGGGGCTACAGTTCATCTTTGTCCTTTCTGCGTCTACAAGCTGTGAAGGGCGGTGCCTGGTACACTGCTAATTTTCAGGAAATGTTTGTTGGAGCAACTGTAATACAAGAGACCGAGGAAGACGTGGTTCCCATTCTTAGGACAGGGGATTTTAACCAATCAGTCAACAAATCGTGAGTAAACACTAGCTACCATGGCAAAGGCTCCAGGGGTTCAGCAATGGATAAGACATCAAGCCCGGCCCCCTGCCTTCACGGAACGTATAGCCTAGTCCCAGACATAGAACCCCCAACAGTCACGCTGTTCCTCCAGAAATTTCCGTTTAAATCTCTGCTCACAGGTCACACGTCATCAGAAAGTCCTTTCCTGACCACCCCGTTTACATGGCCACACCTCAATCACTATCCTTTTGTCCTGATGTTTTCTAACATCTATCACCACCTGACATATTGTATATTTCATTAATATTATTTTCACTGACGGCCTTATACCACTGGAGTGTAAACACCATGACGGCAGGGACTCTGTTTTATTCACCGCTGATTGTCCTGTGTCTGCAACAGTACCTGGCACATAGTAAGCACTATTTCGAATGAATGCGTCAAATTGAATGAGTGAATGACAAATACCAATCAACTAACTACCAGTCTGAAAAGCGCTTTGAAGTTGAAGTACAGTGTTCTAGGGGAGTGGCTAACAAAGCTATTGGCCTGAGCCCGAAGTGGGCCTAAGACGTCTCTGAGGAAGCTCAACTTTAAAGGATGTGTAGGCATCAGTTTGGCCAAAAGCTGGAAGAAAAAGTATTCCAGACAGTGTATAGAAATGCCCTAAGGCAGGAGAGAGTACACGTATGCGAGGAAAACGGAGTGGTTTCCATGTGGGTAGAATGGGTGAGGGAGGGATAGTGGTGTGAAAAGAACAAAACCAACCGGCCACTTGTGGTGCTGTCAGGAAGGATGAGAGACAGAGCCCATCTGGAGAGCCTGGGGGGACCGCTGACAAAGTACAGGACGCTGTTTCTTCTTTGAAGCTTGGTGGGCAGGAGGAAAAGATGGGGAAGGACTGAGGAATGACCTAGAGTTTCTCAGCAGAATGAGGTCAGCTGGGGAAAGACCTGGAAGAGGACTGGGGGTGGGTCAGCTGCTGCTGGGGACGGAGAGGAGGGCTGGGAGCAGCAGTGGGGTGCAGGGTGGAGGGCAAGGAAGGGGGCACAAGCATACTCACAGGGGATCGGAAAGCCCCGCGGCAACTTTTGGAAAGTCCTGCTTGAGTCCTGTAGAGGAATCCGAGGGAAAAAGGCTGATTGGATCTAGAGGCCGCTTTGGGAGGAAAGGGGTACTGTGAGGGTGTGAGAGGAGGAACTGCTGTGAAGTACAGAGACCGGGACTGGATCCGGTTGGGAAGAGGGTAGATAACGCTCCCGGGATCGGGGTAGGGATTCTGGAGGAAGGAGAGATTCTGATGTGGAGCAGGGGAAGGGGGGGGTGGTCTCTGGAGGCGATCTCTGGGGAGAGAAAAGTCTGGGGCAGAGCTTCGGGGAGTCAGGAAAAGTGACTGGGAAGAGATGTGCTTTCCCCCTGCTGTCCGCTCCTCGCCCACCTCCTCAGCCCTGGGGTCCGGGGCCCCTGACTCGGGGAGCTCTGCAGTGCCGGAGGGTCCAGGGCGGGTGCGGAGAAGCGGCCCCTCAGGTCCGCCCGGTATTCGCAGTTCTCTGACGCACACCGAAACTCCACAGAGCTATAGCTACGTAAGCACGCTGCGAGATCCGGCCCCGCCCTTCCCCGCCGTTCGTCGACCAGGTGGACAAGGAGAGCGGCTGCGCACGCAGTCTTTATTAGGCCTTCCCCCGTCCCTCCTGGTAAACTGTGGTTTAGCCACGCCTCTTTCCCTTTCAACTTTCTCATCGACTAATAGGATTAGGGATTTGAGGCTCTGCTCAAACCGCTGCGGCCTAGTAACGCCCTGGTCCCTCCTCTTTTGGCTTCGTCTCACAGCGGCGCTGTGGCTGCCGGAAGCAGTTCCGCAGTGCTTGCCGGGATCGTGCTGATGTGGCCCCCCCCCTTTCCCCCGCCCCGTCCCGGGATGTCGGAAGAAACCCGACAGAGCAAATTGGCTGCGGCCAAGAAAAAGGTAAAACGTGCGGGGTCGCGGCTCCCTGACCCAGCCCGAGACCCCTCCGACGGCCGGGCCATGGCCAGAGTCTGTGCTGCCTTCGAGGCACACGGGGCGAGCCTCTCGGCGCCCCTTGGCGTCCCCCTCCAAAAGTATTCTCAGCCAGTCCCGCCCCCCGGCAGCCCAGCCCCCGCCCTCGCTCGTCACCCCGGGGTGACTTTGGGCCGGTGACCCCAGGGGCTTCCCGCACCAGGCTCGGCCCTCGCCTCCTGCCGCCCAGAACCGGACCTCCTGGGTTCCCTGGGCTCCCGGTCTCAAGGACCTCGGTCCTGGCCTTGCGTTCCCCTCCCCCACCGCTGAACGGCGACTCGGGCATCGGTAGGGAGGAGTGGAAAGTAGTTACGTCATAATCCCCCTCTGAACTGTCATTACCGCCACGAGCCCGGTGTTTGATCTTACTACCCAGTCCCCCTGTGTTTTCACATTCCTTCCGGATTCTCTGGTCGCAGCACAAATTTCTAGCTTGAAGGGGACTTGGGACTATGGGACCTAGGTCCCACCTGGGTTTCAGGCTCCCTCACTCTAGACTGTACCCCATCCTTTGGTGTCGATAGCGTAAAAAGCCAGTGATCTCGAAACATTGACAATATCTCTGGGTGGCAGTGGGGAGAATGTGCTTTGTTTAGTTTGGTTTTTTCCCAGGTTTCTATCCAGAGAGACTTTCACAGTTTTAATCTGAATCTTCTACCTTACATTCTAATGCGCTGTGATTCTGAGACCAGAATGCCCGTCATTCAGTGCTCCTTTGGAGTGAGATCTGCTTATCCTCTGTGGAACAGATCGCGTGAAACTGAACTTCACAGCTGGGACTCTTTCCCAAATCATCATCTGAACATGGGTTGCCCTGAGTGCCACAGGATAAACATGGGACTGGAGCATCAGTTTTGCTTGATTCTCTTGAGAGAGAAAAAGCCTTTTATATTAATGTGCTTAGGGATGACGTTTGCATAGATTTGTAAGATTATAATAGACTTCTCTCTGAAATGGTGTTTGGGTTGTCCTCTTTCTGTTACGTTCCCAGATTCACTAGGGGTGTGTGCGTTCACTGCCTTCTGCCATTAGGATACACTGATGTAAAAGTTTGAGAAGCAGTGGTGTGCAGCTCTAAAAGAGGTGTAAGAAAGGACCCTGATGTCTGATTAAATGTTTACTTTTCCACCTCTGCTTCCTGTAAACTGTAAAGTAAGATGTGAATATAGGGGGCTTATAGGTCTCATGAGCCTCACTGCTTTTCCTTTTTGCAGTTAAGGGAGTATCAGCAGAAGAACAGCCCTGGTGTTCCTGCAGCAGCTAAGAAAAAAAGAAAGATCAAGAATGGCAGTAGCCCGGAGAAAACCACTTCTGGTGGTTGTCCCTCACCTGAGGATGTGAGTCTTGCCACCTTCCGGGGATGGGGTGCTCAAGGGACAGCAGGAGAGGGCAGTGGTTAAGATTGTGGAAGAAATGTCAGATATTGGCTAAGAAGTTTGGGTTTGAATTCTACCTCTCCCTCTGTTGGGGATATGGTTTTGGGCAAATTGTTTAAGCTCGTTGGGTCTCTGGTTCCACATTGGTAAAACTGGGGTAATACTGTCTTACACTTATGAAGTTTAAATGAGATTGTTGTGGTTTTTATAACAATCTCCTAATACAGGGCCTGGTGCAGAGTAAACATTCAGTAAAGAGTAGTTGCTATTTGACTTACTGCTCTGGTGATCTTCCTCAGCCCCGTCCTCAGTGGGAAGCCAGGCAGTGAGAACAGCCTCTTGTCCTCAGGCTCTCCATTTAGAGGCACCAACAGAACCCCAGGGTGTGGTGAGGAGAATCCCTAGTCCCTTGGATTAGGAGATCATCTGAGTTTCAAGGCCATCTTTGCCACCAGCTTGCTGGGTGACTTCAAGAAGATCACTTCTTCCCCTGGGCCTCAGTTTCCTCATCTGTAAGATGACACTGTTGGATCAGATCCTTGTCTTTCAGACTTATTTTTTAGCTGTAGCCCACTTTGTTCAAGCGGACCCTTGTTCTGAAGTCTGGTTTTTAAAAGTCTGGGCCTGAGGGTCTAAGAAGCTATTAAGAGCTGCACTGTTGGCCTAAGGAGCTATGTGACTGCATTGTTCCGGGGACTTTTCCATCTGTTTACCTTGATTTCTGCCTCTGGCAAGGCAGCAAGTGGCTGTTTGGATAATGGCACAGGCTGTGGTATTGATCCCTTTCTGTCTTCTCCAGCATTCCATTGCCCTGAACCCATCTCTTCTTCCTTCCCTGACTCTCTTGCCTCTCTAAGCCACTTTTCTCTTTCTCTCCCTGCCCTTGTTTTTCCCTTTTCGCCTCCTATAGATTCAGGACATTCTGAAGGTGCTGGTGTCCGACCTTAACCGCTCCAATGGGGTAGCGATCCCCCCATTGGACAAGTGGAAGGTGAGGCAGTGCCGAGACCCCCTCTCTGGCTTGCTCCCTCCCAGCTCTGCATGCCCTGAGGCTTCTCTGGTTTGGGGGATACTTGGCCTCTGGCTTATTTTATGTTGCTGTCATTAACCCTGGGCCTGTTCATGTCTGCTTTTCACCTGCTTGGTTGATTGGGTTCCCCCCTGACCCCCCCCCCCATCTTTTATCGTCTTGGAGAAGGTGAGATGCTCCTTGGAGGTTAAAGGTAACTTGGGAATAGCTTCCAGAGCAGGTGTGTGGGATTTGGGCTCTTTGAGCCTCCAGTCTGAATGTCCGTGGTGCTATCAAACTAGGAGAGGTTAAATAAAACCAAGCCTTCAAGTCTTGGCCCCTGGGCATCTGACCCCAAAAGACCAATAGACCACAAAGTAGTTGGTGATTTTTTTTTGAGTTGATCAGTTCATTTTGGTTTGGCAGTAGGGAATGTAGGGTTAAGAGAAAAGGAGTTTGCATTATAGTTACAAGGATTGAGGTTATTTTTTTCAGTGGAGCTATCTGTAAGGGATGTGAGGTTAACCAAACACATGAGTGGTCAGGACATTCTGCCCCTATTCTCTTTTAAAAATTAACTGGACATTTAACCATATTCAGTGGGCCCTTGAGAGCAGAGGCATGTTGCTAGGGGCTGTAGAAAACAGATGAAAGAAACATTTGGAATGTGGCAATATTCCAAATGCTCGACAAGGCAGAGCTTGGTTCTAAATGGACTCGAGGCTGGAGGGTGTGGCATTTGAGACCGGTTTGAAGATTAGAGGTGGGTAGCAGTCATCCACATTGAGAGTAGGGGAAATGGGAGTCCCAGGCAGAGGGTGTAATACAGGTAACAGCCAGGATTATGAGCTCGCAGAGTACTTTCCAGAAAGGCGGGGAGCCTGGGGTGTCCCTGGACTAGGAGATGACCTCCTCCGGACATGATGTTGTCACTTCCTCCTTAATTAACTTCCTCGGGGGACATCTGCCAGGCTAGAGGAGTAGGGCTGGAAGGGGGCCAGGTCCTGCTGGAGATGGGCACGGGGAGAGGGGCTGGGACGGGGAACTGTTGGCTGGGGTTAGAGAGTCTTTCAATCATCAGGACTGCTCATGCCCGGTCGGTCGGGTCTGTCCAGGTGCTGTGACTCACCTTGTTGACTCAGAGGAGATGCTGGGTGGCACGGGGAGGGGAGCGCAGGCCTACAGGAGTCCCGAAGCTGTGCATCTGTACTCTTGTTCTAAGACCCTGGGCCCGCATCCTTCTGCTCTCCTGGAAATGAAGACGCAGATCCCCATATTCCCTTCTTGTCGTTTTAAAATTCTCTCTATATCAATAATTGTTTCTCACTTAAGTTTTCTGCTCTAGTAGTGCAGGCCTGTGATTGCAGTATCCTGGGCAGAGCTGATGACATTTCCAGAACTGAGGACTAGTGGATAGAAAAATAAGGTTTTTTTTTTTTAATGGGATGGGACATTGGAGGGGAGTGGACAATGTTTTTTAAAATTCCATACTTAGCTATATGACTCAAAATTATGAAATAACTTGGTTGCTCACAAAGTTGTCATATTAAGTATATTTAAGTCCTCAGAAAAAGACTTTTTTCCCCTTCTGAGCTTTCTTGTTTCTAATGCTAGGGATCCGTGGGCACCCAAGAGGCCAGGAGGGACCCAGGGCTCGCCAGGGCCCGTGGCTAAGAGTGTGCTCCCCTCCCCCAAAGTCTCATGCCTAGCCAGCTGCTGAACCCCCGCTCTTACCTATTAGATTCAGTAGTCCAGGTTGACAAGGCAACACCAGGTTCTGGCGTCAAAGGTCACAGCGTGGACAGTCACCAAGCAAACAGCTTGATTCATCTTCAGCTCCCCAGGCTCTGTGCTGCTTGCTCTAAGGAGGGCAGTAGCTTTGGGTTTTCAGAGGCCAGGGCTGAGGCTCCAGAGAGCAGGCAGCCCTTTCCCCCAAGAGAGGTGCAGCCTCTTCCTTCCAGACTCAGCTTCGTTGGCCAGGCCTTGGCTCCCCGGTGCTCTTCCCTCGTCAAGCTTTGGCTTATCAGCCCTCTTCCCCATCTCACCTATTGAACATTAGATCCCTCGAGCCAGAGGCTTGGACTAAGTGTCAGGCCTGAGCCTGGAGAGAGGCCGAGTGGGGCTCTGGTCAAGCAAGTGGATCCATTTGGGCCAAGAGAGAACTTCTCCGTGGCTCCTGGCCCTCAATCCCACGTTTGTTCTCCAGGATGACAGGAGTCAAAGCATAGACGTCTTACCTCTGGTTTCTCAGCTGTTTCTTGGTTGGGTAGGTGTTTTGGAGCCAGGAGGTTGGGATGGGTAGTGGCCATGGTTTTCT